TTGCCCATTATTAAACACTTTTTTTTTCCTTACTTCTTCTGTATCTTCTTTCTAGCTTTTCGTTTTTCTTTTTGTTCATTCTTTTATTACTCAATTGATGATATAAAATCAATATCTTATTCTTGTTGATTTTATTTGTATGAATATTATTGTATGTGTTCGGTTTTTCGTCTTTTTTTCTTATAATCACACACACAAATTATTCATACATTATTCATTATCAACAATTGTCTAAAATAAATCATTAATTTAAACAGAAGAAGATAAAACGAATGCCATGAAAGATTTTTAATACTATAATTTTAATCATTCAAATTTGTCTAGTGTACAATATGTCTTTCATCATTTCTTTTTGATTTACAGATATTGATCAGCAATTCTCTATTGTTCTTATAATTGATTAGTTCTTGGTAAAATAAAATTTTTACACTCGCCTTCAAGCATTAAAAGAAGAAAAAAAATTAATATTTGTCTATATATCGTCCTTTGTCTACAGCCGTATTAAGACCTTGATAACGATAGATACCACATTTACCAAGATGCTAAAATATAAATGATAAGATTGTTTAAAATCAAAAACATTTATAATTATTATGGATACCCCTGTAAAGGCACTTGATTGTGTTCGATAAACAGTTGGCATTGTATGAATATTAGGTTTTTCAGCACCATAATCTTGTGCTGTTGTACGATACAATGGATTTGGTTCTTTCTTGCTATAACCTTGCCACCAATCTATATGAAACATAGTCTCCAGACAATATGAAAAATGATTAAATCATAAATATAGATATATGTACCTGGATTATCAAATTTTTCTGGAATACCAAATGTTCTATATTGATCACTAGTTTTTTCACCAGTCATTGCAGCATTTCTTTGTGCAACTGTATCTCTTGGTTGTAAATAAGTTGCTGCTACTTCGACAGGTATAGAATCTGATTGATAAAGAACTTCACCATTTTGACTAACTTCAGTATACTTTGTCGTAGGTGTATATTGTTGTTGTTGTTGATTATTATTATTATTATTATTTTCAAGAGAAGAAGACGAATCAATGTTTGTAGTATTCATTTTTGATCAATATGAATATGTATGATAATTTTATCGGTGGAAAGTTGGCAAGAATATGAATTTTTATGTTGTAATGTTTTGATTTTAACAACCGGGTTTTTTTTTGTTACCATCAGAAGTAACGTAGTCATGCAATAAACCTCTTTCATTGTCAAATGATACAGAGGTCGTTAACGAGTAATGATTATATTCAAAAATCATATCATTTATGGTATTTTTAATAAATAGAAACATATAAAACTCAAGTCTATATTTCAGTTTAATTGATAAATCAATAATTAAAGATTAGTTAATGAACAATATACTGTTTTTAAATACAAGAGCAATAATTAATACATTTGTAGAGCTATTTAATTAATATAAGCGGGAGTCATTTCAACACTTTCTTTTTCTGTATTGCAAAGCAGTTGTAATAAACTATCATAGAATACAAAAGAAGGGCAATTATACGTAATATACAAGATATCATTGCATCGTGTTACAGGAATTTACAAGATTTACTATCCGTTGACTACACCAAAAGTTTATTTCAATTAAGCGTTTATTCTTGTCTCGTGTGAGGATTTACTTTCAGTTAAAACAAAGAAACATATTACTGTTTAACTTTGAGACGGACCTGGAAAACATCTTATTCCAATAAGTTTCAACAACTCTATAGTGTATCAATATGATCTTTATCATAAAGTTACTACAGTTTTATCAAACATTCTTCTGCTATGATAATTTTTTGCATTGTTTTGGAACTGGAATCGCCATGTTATCTAGTATTCTTGCAGTCTATGTTAACGATTATCGTATTTGCAATAAATCAATCATAATCTGTATGTTGGGATGTAGAGACTTTACATGTTTTTTCATTCGAGAATGTCAACCGTGCAAATAATTAATTGTACCTACTGTCATAGGACGATAATAATTGTACATATGTGGTGGAAATTCACTGAATGGTCCATATGTATCACATATAATTTAACGGTAATAACAATAATGTTGCAATAGATCTGAATCAATCAATCACGAAAGCTCTCATCATTTTTGTATGCTAACTTCAAATTCAGAGTAACAAACTCGCAAAATAAATATTGTTCATAATGAAATAAACAACTTCGAACACCAAATTGGATAAAAGTGCTAGTAAACGATATAAAGATGTTGAAATGTGATGTTTGTAATGGGTTGTTGTTTACGAATGATTGTATATGATCTAAGAACAGTGAAAAACGCTAACATTTACGGTGACTGTTTATAGAGCACTGTAAATGACAGCATAATGGTCATCGTGAACGTTACGTATTCGAATGGTATTTATCAAATGTTATTAAACCACATAAAGACACACTGTGAACATGGAACAATTTTTTTTGGCTTTGTTTCTATGGACAGTCTATGAAAGAAACTCAACATTTGTACGAAAAAGAATCAAAACTAAGACTAATAGTAAATGAATCGATTGTGACACCTCTTCGTAAAACTGTTAAAAAAATGTGAAAATTACTTAGAATAAGACTTTCATCCACTTTATAACATAATTTGAGGACGTCTACAAAATCGTCATTAACTTAAAATTTCCAAAGTTTCTCATCATCTGTTTAAAACGAATTAAGAGACTCAGACAGGAATAACGTTTGAAGAGACTAACGAATTTGAAGTTTCTTCTTTTCCATTCATTGTACATCGCTGAACATATAAAAAAAAAACCATTGTTTTATACTTATATCTTTTGAAATTTTCTTATACGGTTTTTTCTTGAAAATTTTTGAATGAAAATCACACACAAGTGAAAATAAAATGATAGTACATACTGATTATACATTAATGGTAGGTTACAATAATTATCAGAAGTGAACCAAAAGTAGAAGCAACTGTAGTAAAACAGTGTATTTACTGCTGCCGCAGACGATAAAAGATACTGTTCGTATACGGCTGCCGTGAGCATTGTTAATGACCTTGTACGTTGCTGTATATGGTACTACTATATATGTTCGTATTAATGCTTTTGTTGTTATGAAGCAATACAGTGTCGTAATGGATTGTAATTACACCGTATGCTCGTCATTTATTGTTATAAGATGCGCCGTTACATTGTTAGATCATGCAGGAAGTGCTACAGAATATGAGCATATAAATGGTTGACATTATAAAAAATTTCTGGAATAAGACATTTATTGTCCAATGAACATAAGTTATTTAATTTATTATGTAGTGTAAACAGATAATTAAATTATGGTCAATTGGATCAATACATGTATAATTATAAAGATGTATTAAGTTTAAAGTGATTTCATTAAAGAACAATCAAGAAGAAGATCAGAATTTCATTGTTCATTGAAAAGAACTAAATCAATACAAGAGAATGAATTAGCTCATGTATAATTTCTATGAATGGTAAGCTATGTAGCAGTAGTAAAGTTGAATAATTAGTTCTTCTATTGATAAACTTGATTTTATGAATAGATTATTATTTATGGATTTGTTTGTATGAAATCTCATGTGTATTTAA